CTCTTTGAATCGCGAAATGCTTTGATGGAGGGGAAAGTATTCTTTGAGTACTTGGTACAAGTATACACGTCTTCACTGTCAAGGGCTCGGTTATTCTGTACGGGCACGGTTCGTTCAACCGTTTGGCCCGGTACATCATTTTCCTATCGAGACCCTATCTAGCACATCTTGGCTTCTCCGAGGAAGTGACCTTCCGGGGGGTTGCCCCCAGTATTCGAGGTTGATTTGAAGAGAAGCCTTGAATGGTTGTTGAGTCTTCCTTAGGTGGCATATAGATGTTGCCTCGCTAAAAACCTTGCCGGTAAAACCCTTCTTGGGATAAAAACCAGGTCGAAGGAAAAGAGTGCAACGTATGCTTTTTGAACCCAAGGCCTTCAAGTTGGAAAGCGCTTTGGCTGTTTCGATCGGATACCTGCACACAAGTTAGTGTGAAATGTAACTAAAAAAGGGGGAGATGATTATACCTTATTGCCGATGGCGCCTTGAGCCTCGATGTGCTTCGAACATTTATTTTCAGGACACGACATGGCCCTTTGCTAGTTTAGTCGGGTGTAGCCGAGAATATAGCTTGTTATTGCTATTTTACTGTTTGCTTATCCTTTGGTTCCTTCGATGTTGGAGGCGTAGGTGCCGGTGCTACATCGTGCACCGTGAACATTTCCCTCGCTGCATGTTGTTCCCCATATACGGTTTTTATGCCGTCTTTTGTCGGGAACTTCATCATTTGTTGAAGGGTTGATGGTATTACTCTCATGCAGTGTATCCACGGCCTACCGAGCAAGGCTTTGTATCTCATGTCTCCTTCGATGACATGGAATTTGGCATCTTGGGTAGTGCCGGCCACGTTGACCGGGAGGGTGATTTCCCCTTTCGTTGTTTCGATCGCCATGTTGAACCCGTTGAGGACTCGAGAGGCGGGCACGATTTGGTCGAGCAGTCCGAGCTGCTCCACCAACCTCGACTTGATGATGTTGGCCGAGCTACCTGGATCCACAAGCACACGCTTAATTTGAAATGTATTTACAAGAAAAGAAATTACCAATGCGTCGTTATGGGGCTGAGATAGAGCCTCGATGTCTTTGTCGCTAAACGTGAAGGCGTCCTCGGGTATGTAACCTCGAGTTCGCTTTTCCCTAGTGATGGAAATTTATGTTCTCCTGACCATGGGTTCTTGTGGAGCATCGATACCTCCGAATATCATGTGGATGACATGTTATGGCTCGCATGTTTCATTCTTCTTGGTCGCCTATCTTTCCCGGAACTGATTTTTGGCTCGGTCGCTAAGGAATTCTCGGAGGTGACCTTTGCTGAGTAGTCGGGCTACTTCTTCCCGGAGTTGTCGGCAATCCTCGATCCTGTGATCATGTGTGTTGTGGAATTCACAGACTAAGTTATGGTTCCTTTGCGAAGGATCTGATTGTACATGCCTTGGCCACCCGGTGTCTCTGATTTTACTGATGGCGAATACGATGTGTGAAGTGTCGACGTTGGAGTTGTATTCCGACAGGCGGGGTGCCTCCGTCGGCTCTGTGTGCCTATCGAATCCAGCTCTGCTAACAAGTCCCCGAGGGTTCTGACCTCGATCCAGCCTTCGATCGTTGCGGGGTATGTTGCGCCTCGGGGCGTTTCTTCTATCTTCAGTGTATGGTTGGTATCTTTCTTTGTTTGGCTTTGACTCCTTTGTCGGAAGCCTGTTAGGATATACCGAGCCCGAGGAGGCTCCTAGTTGGTCGTCTTTGATTCTGATCTTTGATTTGTACCGATTGTGGACATCTGACCAGGTCACGGTGGGATATTCGACTAAGTTCTCCTTCAGCTGTTTCGAAGCTACCGAGCTTTGCTGCCCAGTCGTCGGAGACTGGCGGTAGTTCCATTTGTTCCATTTGAAAGCGAGATACGAACTTTCGCAGCATCTCGTTCTCCCTTTGCTTGATTTTGAAAACGTCGGACTTCCTTGTAGCTACCTTGATGGCACCAACATGTGCCTTTATGAAGGAATCTGCTAGCATGGAAAATGAGTCTATCGAGTTCGGGGCTAGGTTGTGATACCACATCATTGCCCCTTTTGAAAGCATCTCTCCGAACTTTTTTAGTAGGACGGATTCGATCTCGTCGTCCTTTAGGTCGTTGCCCTTCACTGCACAAGTGTAAGCAGTGACGTGCTCGTTGGGGTCTGAGGTTCCGTTGTACTTTGGAAGGTCGGGCATTCTTAACTTCTTTGGAATGGGTTTTGGGGCCGTTTCATGTGGGAACGGCTTTTGTACAAACTTCTTCGAATCTACACCCTTTAGGATCGGGGGTGCGCCCGGGATTTGATCGACCCTAGAATTGTAGGTCTCCACCTTCTTGTCGTTGGCTTCTATCTTCTTCTCGCCCGACTCGATCCTCTTTGTGAGGTCCTCGAGCATCTTTATGATAGCAGGATCAGCTTCCGACCCGTTGTTGCTTGATCTTTCTGGTACCTGCTCGGTTCGGGGTGCCGATTCCGGTGCAACCGTGCTGGGAGTTTTCTGGCGGCTTTGCAGCTGAGCAATCGCCAGTTGTTGTGCTTGTAACATCTCGAAGATGACGTAAAGGCTAACCCCTTGTTCTTCCTGAGCCGGTTTTTTTTGAGCTTCTTGTTGATCTCCTTGGTATATGCTCATGTTGGTGTGGGAGCTTATTTCGACGTGTTGAGCGTCGCGCGAAACCGCGTCCACGGGAAATGGTTCTTGCGCATCCTCAGGGTTTCGTGGTGGTACACCAACACCTGGAACAACTACACCATTTTCTCCATGGTCCTCAAGATTGTTGTTTTCGTGTGCGTTTACTGAGTTAGACATTTTGACCTGAAATCAAAAAGATCTTGGACAAGAAAAAGTGTGAAAGATAACTTGCATTATGTAGTAAACCAGCAAGAAAACAATCACTATTATTTTTAGCCCCACGGTGGGCGCCAAACTGTTTACCTTGAAAATGGTAATAACAATTAGATTTGATTTTGTGGTTCTAAAAATACGTGATCTATTTTTATGCTAGTTGTTAGGCAATAGATGCTAAGCGAAGGATTAAAAATTAAGATGATAGCTTGTAGATGGCTTAATAATCAAACCGAAATGGCTGGGAATCGAGGCCTCGAGCTTGCGTATACGGGTCCTCGAGGTCGAGTTGGATGCCCGGTTAAGGGAGTCGAGGAAGGACTAACAGTTATGAGAGCAGCGATGGCGGCTCTCTATGATCAATAATGAGCAATAAATGAAGAACAATTAATAGAACACAATGAATATAAGCAATAAATATAAATAATGAAACCAAGAGAAAGTGTTCAAGCTGGAGAGCAGAGAATGTTCTTGTATTGAATGTAGTGTGTTGTATCCTGAGTATCAGATGCCTCCTACAAAATGACAAGGATCCCCTTTATATATGGAGGGAAATCCCATCATAGTACACGAGTAATTATTACAAAGAAAAGTAGCTGGCACAGCTACTTACTGGTCTGGTACAGACTAGTGTTTCCTTTGCAGGTTTTGTCAGCTTTGATCATATGCCTTGGAAACTTCCCGCTAGTGCGTCGTAGCGTTGGTTTGCACTGCCTCGAGGTCGATCATTACGAACCCTCGGGGGCGAACTCCGGGCTAAACTTCGAGCCTCCCAGGGGTGGTCTTTTTTGAGGCGCCCTAGTAATCATAAAATCAAGCCTTCTGATTTTTACCGTATACAAATAGCTTATCAACACTTTCTATCAAACACATCGACTGTTATTTTCAGTTTCAGCACATCTATCCAAACACGTAAATACTTATTTAAAAAATCAATATCAGCACTTAAAAATATTTTTCACGGCTCAAAATCCTTGAAATCCATTCGGCACTTAACTTCCAAATGTTCTTTATTCGAGCCCTTGTGGCTTGTGTTACGAGTCCGCAATGCGTTCTCAAAACTCAGGATGGTGGTTGGTGGCTTATTTTCATCTAAACCATTATTCTGCTCCTTGCCTGTTAATAAATAATATTTTCCATTTGATAATCACGTTAAAAATTAGAGCATCGTCCTCCCAGAAGAAATGTAAATGGAGTGCCACCCGCATCTAAATTTTTGAAGAGAAATTTTCAGAAACCACTATTGTTTAGTGGCTATTAATTTCCTATAGTTACCGTATACGCAATTATTTTCTATAGCTACTATTCAGTTGTTACGGTAGTGTATTCGCTGTATTCGCGCATGAATACAACAACAAAAAACGCCTAAAATCAAGGTAATCCAGTTGTACGCGCATGTATTCACATGTATTCGCATCATATATTCATGAATACAGCAGCAAAAAGCGCCTAAAATTAGGGCAGTCCAGCTGTACCCGCATGTATTCACATGTATTCGCGCTGCTGTATTCACGAATACAGCAGTAGAAAGCGCCTAAAATCATAGCAGCCCAGCTGTACACACATGTATTCACATGTATTCGCGCCATGTATTCGCGCCATGTATTCATGAATGCAGGAGCAAAAAATGCCTAAAATCAAGGCAGTCCAGCTGTACGAGCATGTATTCACATATATTCGCGCTGCTGTATTGCAGTAAAAAGCGCCTAAAATCAAGGCAATCCAGCTGTATGTGCATGTATTCACATGTATGCGCATGTATTCACATGTATACAGTAACGACAATCACTTTAAAAATAGCTACGTCCAACTATCTAAGAGAGGAAAAACAGACATAGCGTATTTCATGCCTCAATGGTAGTATATACCATAAATACTTATTTTGCTATAAAATATAAAAGGTAGCTATAAAAAATAATATTTTAAAATAACTTTGATTTGTAATAAATAGGGTGTACACCTTTTCTATAGAAGGTAAAATTTCCATTTTTCAACAAAAGAAATAAATTAGCTTCAGAAAGTTGTATTCTATTTTAGTACTATCCATTAAGACAAGATCCTCGAGCTGGGTACTTTATTGGGACCACAGATCTTGCCTGTTGCAAAGCGTAGAACTCAATTTATAAAGAGTTCATTGCAGAGTCAATAGAAGGTATCGTTCTCGTTTACACGGACACTAATTAATGTCTATTGGAACGAAACATTCTAAGGTTAAAACGAAGACGTGGATCATTCAGACCAACCAAATAAACAAAATTGGTAATATTTCCAAAAACATTTTGTACTTGAAGTGCTCGGGGAAGGTTGAGTAGTGACCGCAGTGATAAGAGCTCCTCCTTTACATTCTATAGGTGTAAAATCCTTCACAAAATCCTTCATTTCTTATTCCTATCAGGGACCTCCACCCCTACCTACCCCGAAAATAATAACAATAATAAGAAGAGGGATGTCGCTGTTGTAATCTCTGAGGTGATTGCTGTGCGTTTCTTCTAAGGATCATAACAGAAGACCATTCTCTCATTCCCGGCCCCTGCACCCTGTAATATGGGGTAGAAAGCAAAGTGGAGTGGATGGAACTCAAATTATGAAGTTCAACATATAAATTTTCCTTATCCGTCCTCAAGGATCTCTTTGTGCACGTGCATGCATGAGCTGCTGCAATACTTGTAATTATATCTGTGAAAGGGAACCTTGCCAGCCAATGACCCGTAACAGCAAGAACATAGAATGTCACTTACTGAGCCAGTGCCTTGAGCTTTGAGTGCTGCCGCAGCAGCTAATCTTCTCTCAGCTGCAGCTGCTCTTTTTTCCCTTTCAGCATCTTGAGCTCTCCTTAATTCCTCCTGATTGGCAAAACAAAGAAAACATATCAGAGATCAGCACTTCCAAGACCAATTCCCATTCGAGCAGTTATAAGCGCATAACAAGAATACGGCAGAAATATGTTCTATGACCTCTTTTGATATTTTTGCTGAAAGACTAGAATGAGAATATCCTTTAAGAGCTGAAGCAGCAAGCATTCCTCTCCCAGATTCAGATGGAGCAGTTTGGACTTGAGCAGCCTCAGCCTGCAAAACTAATGTCAGAATGATGCGAGATAGAGAGAGATAATAGGAGAATAAACAAATTAGCCCGTGTGTGGGTGCTTAAGAGGCAAATGAGACTTCTAGGCTGCTTACAGTTACTCTTTTTTTCCTCATCAGAGGGAGAGCAAACAAGAAGGGAAAGACACATTTGATGAACGTAGAAGAGAAAATTTCTTGACAACCAAAAAGAACAACTCTAGAACTTTGCTTCTTAATTCATGCCATGCAATCCGACTAAAGCAAGAAGATGAACCAACAATTATTCTCCTATTGCTCGGATTCATAAACTACTAGGAAAATAAAATATACATCACCTGAGCCTTTTTTTGCTTTGCTTTCCGCAATTTCTTCAACTCCTTTGCCCTAGCTTTCTTCTTAGCGTCTTTCTCTGCCTGGGGAGAGAGAAATACAATTGTACATATTAGATAGGCACAATGCAGCATAAAACATATTTTCACTGATTGGCTTATTCAAAAACAGATTGATTGCAAAACAGTGTCATTAGGAACAATCAAGTACACTTAAATTCATCTATATTTGCAATGTGCCTAATACAGTACTTTTTAAATGATGGAGAAGCTCATAACATTTTCCAACTTCCTTGACATATTAAGAAGAGAAAGTGACCAATATTATAGAGCGTTCAAATAAAGTGTATTAATCCGTTTTTGATACACGCCTAATGACACTGTTTTACACTTCCTAAATGAGAGCAACAGTCTTACAATCTTCACAAACATTTCTGAAAGAGATAATAATCGCTTGAACTTTCTAATTCAAATCCCCCAAGCCTGACTCAGAGATCGGAAAACATCAGATAGAGCATCTGCAGAAGCAACAAAAGTAATAACGACGACGTCTAAATCCATTTCCTATATATAGTCCTATGTCCTAAATATAGGATCCTCTTCAAGAATATTATGTTAACATCCTTAAATATAGGAACCTCGGCAGAAAATTACACTGGCGATTTGTCACCCCCTAAAATAATGAAGAAGTTACCTGTTTAGCAGCTTGTGCTTCCTCCATTTCTTTAGTCAATGCGCTAGGCACCTTAGCAGCATGCCAATCCCACTTGTCAACATTTGATGCCATGAAGCGCCTAAATGTGTTTCTCACTTCTTTTTCAGTTGCAAGCACATACGGAGTTCTCCCTCTCTCGTCTTTGAGGCAAGGATCCATACCCTGTTCTAGAAGTTCCAAAACCTTTTCAGAGTCCCCACACTTTGCTGCTTCATGTAAAGGAGTGGACGTACCAATTGTGTCATTATCACTATCACTGTCACTTGATATGATCGCATCGCGAGATGGCGTAACACTACAACATGCTTTGGTAATTTCCCTAGTCTCCAAATTTTCCTTCAAAACCTCCATGGACTCATTAGACTTGCAGCTCGGACCACTTGCACTTAATAGTGACGCATCTTCACAGTCAGGTGCAATTCGCTCATTTACTTCAAAGGATACTTGAGTCAACAAGCCATATATTCGTCGAGCTTCCTTGTAGGTAGGTCTTCGGACAGTCAAAGGAATATTTCTAATAACATTAGGCTGACAGACAAAATATGGTCCATCTCCATCAAAAAACAGTTGGCGGTTGTCAGAGGGAGCATATATGAAGATACAGGACGAAACAGCAAAGTAAGGCTTCCATGATGTGAGCAAATCTTGGATTTCCTGGTTATCAAACAGCAAAATTATCATCACAAAATATGATGTTAACCCAGCTAAAAATAATTCAGCTTTCCTACTCCATAGTGCCTCTGCTCTATGTTCAATATGACAGCCAAATAATCCCCCTCCTTTTGTTTCTTTTTCAAATCAGAGAGAGAGCCACTTCAAGTAGTAAAATCAATAAGGCAGAAGCACTCGAGCCCTCTAAACGCTCCCGCTTTAAAGGAAACCAAGATGAACTTCTTATCATGAGACGATGTGTCAGAAATGAAAGTTTGAAGTATCACTCAAGAAAATACCCAGTAGAAATAATCAGAAACATATAAATAAACTAAATATAAAAAATTAAAAAGAAACAAATGCATAGAAAGCAGAAATCATAGCATGGATAATACAACAACTTTATTAACGGCCAATTTAACCGAGTGTTATTTGAAAAGCTCAACCCATTGCCACCAGAAGAAAAGAGAAAAGGAGGAAAAAAGGAATAAATTTCATGATTAACATTTAAAAAGGCATGATAATATGTTGGCAAACCTGCTTGGAAGGGAATGCTTTTGTTACTATTAAAAAATAAGCAAAATTTGGCAAGTCACACTGAGTAGGGCACAGATCATACTGCAACAGAATCTCTCTTATGTAAACATCAATCCCTTTACCTTTTTAAGAGCAAGTTCATTATGCCGACGAATTGATGCTCCAGCAGAGTGCGCAATCTTGCCACTTGCATCTTTTGATGACTGTTTCTTTCCAGCCTTAGCTCGTATAACATACCTAAAAGAAAGGTAAAGTAGTATAAGTTAGCCACATTCTCTCAGAAGGGATGCAGGAATAGTAGCTAAGACATTACCATTTAAAAAGCAGAGTAAGCTCCAGATCAAGAACAATAGACAATGTATTTTTGCCTAGAATAAAAGCAGTATGTGATAGTGGCTACTCTCAAGCCTCAAGGGAGCACGGAAAAACAAAAACAAAAGAACCTGACTCTTAAAGCCAAGGTAGAAAACGACGACAGCAGCACTGAAATACGTAACAAGACAAGTTAGGAATGCAGCCAAGAGAATAGACACTAGTTCCAAGAGTCAACAAATCTTAAATCTCGAAATTCTAAAGGAAAGCAAAGAGGACCTTTAAAATAGGACTCCTTGCTGTAAGAGAGAGATTTGCCACATGCAAGCAAAGAGACCAACTATATAGAGAACCAAACGAGGGAACTGACTCAGTCTGCTGCTGTGAATAGAATGCTGTAAAAATCTTTTTAATAAAAAAAACAGAAGTTTAACAAGGATATGCTAAAGATTTATTAATAATTAAGAAATAACAGTAAGTACATGTGGGGAGGAGAAAATAGACATGAACCATGACCTTCTTGAAAGAAAAAATAATAAGGAAGTTCTATCCACAATCTGATACTTTTTGACTAAAGAAATAGGGCAAGGATAGACAGATACAACACTCATATCCCATTTAGTTACATTCATTCTCATTGTGGAGGATGCTAGAAGTTATGGTTTGTAATTTGTCTTTCTACCTGTAAATTTAAGCAACTTCGTGAAGCTCGTATTTGGCGCATGGTTATACAAACATGTTTTGTTTGTTTAATTTTTTTGCTCCAAAAGATTTTTAAATTGCAGACAATATTTGATTATTGTTGTTTATTGTTATTGCTTTTACATCTATTTTCTATTTCTTATGATGTTGTTACTAATTTTTTTTATCTTCTATTGTTGTTACTGATCTATTGTCTATTGTCTATTATTTATTTTTCTTCTTCTCGAGCCGTCTTTCGGAAACAACCTCTCTACCCCTCCGGCGATAGGGGTAAGGTCTGCGTACACTCTACCCTCCCCAGACCCCGCTTGTGGGATTTTACTGGGTTGTTGTTGTTGTTGTTGTATTTGATTATTTCTTTACCGTAGGAATCCAGAGGATACACATTTTTTGCGAAGTAGTCAACAGAATTAGGCGTCCAATAACTGCAGAGCGTGGACTCTTTATTGATGCACTATGCAGGGATCAAATGGTTAAACAGAAACTATACCAGAGATCGATTTGAAATTTTCTCATCTACTATTAAATTATCAACAGATTCTCACAAGATATAAGAAAAACTTGATTAGCGTAGTAGGGACAAAGTTCATTGCAACAAAAAGAAAAGTTCGTTTCAATATCTTGTAAAAGATATTCTTCGAACTAGCTGTTTTGGCACGAAAATAATTGTATAAAAGAAGCATGCCACTTTTTAATACAACAAAAACTCTAACCTGTGGAATGTCTTATGTGCCACAACTGCAGTACCATCAAAAACACAGCCTGCAAAATGCCCACCTCTTGCAAGCAACATGATCCTCAAACGGGTATTATCCCTTGGTTCATGAATCAGATATTTCAACTTCTCAGTCACTTCACTTTCTGTCAAGTGAATCTTATTCCTGATATCATCTGCAGCAAGCGTCTTCTTGTTCTCAAACAAAATGTTCTCTGACTCATTCAGGAGTAAACACTTCCACATTGAAAGGATCTCCCCATCATACAATTTTAAAAATATTTTATTCTTAATATCTCCAACTATTCTTCGCTGCAGATCATTTGACCGACCAGATTCTTTGTCATCATCTTCATCATCTGATCCAGATATACTTGATAAATCATAATCCTTACATAGGGAATCAGATTTCATCTCATCAAAGTCTTCCTCCTTTATAGTGTCTCTCCCAGCAATGCTTAGCTTTATCTGATATCAGTACTGACAAGAAATTACTACAACGAAAATACGAACAACCACTTTAATGGTATCAGCACCTTCAGGAACAAAGATATTGACAAAAAGCTGGAAATGATATTTTCCTTTTTGTAGCACCGGAGAAGAGGGAGAGGGGATGCAGATTGGAAGCTTTAGAGGCAGATTAACCAAGTGACAATTCAGAAAGAAAAGCTAATTTGAAGTGCTTCTAGTGCAATGATGAATAGCCCTTGCTTGTAAAGTTCTAGCACAGCCATCTGTTTCAATTGCCACTCTGGTCATGTGGAACGAATGATTTTATTTTGTAAACCTTTATAAGAAAGGTCATATCGAAGAATCTGAAGCTGTTTTCTAGAGTGATTTCAGATATCAAAGTCATGCAACATTCACCTTATTGTATTAGATGAAGTATTAATAGATAAAACATTCTGTCGACTTACTTCATAAAATAAATGTATTCTTTTGCTGAACATATTGAAACCAATTCCCATAACCCCAGCTCCTAAATTCTACTAGTGATACATCAGAAGCCTAGATTATCTCATTTCAAAAGTTAAAAGGTACAACTATTAGGATATTGTCTAAAAGTTGCTAGTTCCAAAGGGATACTCAATTAACTAAACCAAAATACCGTAAAAAGAGTTCTGTTACAAGATCATTATCTTGTGCTTTCTTGAGGGTAAGCATTTAGTTTTTGAGAGTACATCTCTAAAAGTTCCCTCTTTATATATCACTTATTACTGTCTTTGGTAATCAGAAAAGAATATAAAAATTAATTTGAGGATAAAAGGAAAAGATTAAGTATCAACTACTAGCAATAAGTTGTGCCTAACCAAAAAACAAAAAGAATACTTCAGATTCGATTATAAATATAAAATCAATATCTGTATCAGTCCTATAGGTCGCAAGGTGCTAATTCACAGCAATGCTCAACTTCAAGAATAAGGCACGAAAAAAGCAATCAATTAAACTTCTTATTTTAAGTTTGTCAATTACAAAATCCTCACACTTCACCTTACAAGAAACCTCACACCTAATTAGCGTTATCCTATGAAGACAGATTAAAATATCAATCAACTATGCCTCAGTTCCATATCAGTTGAGATCAGCTCAAATAGTCCTATATATCCATTCCGCTCTATACAGGCCCATTTCAATCCAGCATGATAATATATAAAATTTATGAATAAACATAATTTCAATAAAAGAGAGACGAAAGAAAACTAGTACGTTTAGTCGATGAATATCGGATTTGAAGTGAGAACGCTGGTCATGGAGAGACTCAAACACCGCTTTACAAGTATTGCAGGACCACCTCTGTTTCGCGTTATTCCTATTATTACTCGAACTCTCCGTGTTCTGCGCATCCTTTTTGGATTCGTCATCAATGGATACGTCGTCTAGGGTTTTGACTGAGAGACTTTCGAGTGGTTCGACTAGGTAGAGTGGAGACGCTGATGGAGATTCGAGGAGGCGGCATGAATCAAAGAAGTTCGGCGGTAGTTCGAAGATTGAACGGTGCCGTTTTACGTCGGAGATTGGTTGCCTGAATTGAGCGCGGCGATGCTGGGCGGCGGCGGCGGAATTAGGAGTCTCCGTCGACATTGTGGCAACGTTGATTAATCCACACAGGCAGTAATAGTGGTTCAGTGTCTGAATATAGGGGTTAATTTAAAAATAAGGAAAAAAAAGAGAGAAAAATATCGGGGGTAATAGCACCGGAGCACAATTTATAGTCTGTTTGGCCAAGGTTTTTTTTTGTTGCCAAAAGTGTATTTTTTCGGCCAAAAGTATTTTTGGGTAAAAATTGAGGTATTTGGCCAAGCTTTTGGAAGAAAAAAAAAGTGCTTTTGAGGAGAAACAGAAGCAATTTTAGAGAAGCAGAAAAAAAGTAACTTCTCTCCAAAAGCACAAAAGCAATTTTCTGAGAAGTACTTTTGAAAAAAATACACTTAGAAGCAGTTTTCAAAAGCTTGGCCAAATACTAATTACTGCTCAAAAGTGTTTTTCTAATTAATTAGCCAAACACAAATTATTTCTCAAAATAAGCAGATTTTAAAAGCCTGGCCAAACGGGCTGTTAGACTAGTACAGATACACCTCTTTGACTTTGAGAGTTAAAACAGGTTTCTATTAACCCCTTGGAATTTATCATCCCCTGAATGGTGAAGTGTTTGCTTAAAATTAAGTCGTTGGATATTGTAGAACAATTTTATTAATTCAATATTTGCGAGTATCTGGATGTGGTTTTTAGAGATCTTTTTATTTTAAAAATCATTATTAAAACCACACTTCATAGACTCATAGTTCATATGGGATAAAATTCGTAGAAATTGCACGGGGCGTCTTATTTGGTCGCCCCCATTTAACTTATACCTATTTTTTTAAAACTTTTTACTTGTATTCATTTTTTAAAAAACTTCAGCTTTCTTTCTCCGTTGCGTTGCTTACCTCTTCCTTTGTCCTTGCTGCTGCTTTCTCCACTGCGTTGCTTACTTTCTCCTTTACAGAATGCATCTTCTTCTTTCTTCTTTGCCTTGCGTAGAATACTACAGTTGTTGATAATGTAGTATCTTCTTTGCCTTGCGTAGAATACTACAGTTGTTGATAATGTAGTAAATTGAAGGTTCTGTAGTTTGTGGGGAAATAATTAGTAGTAATTAAATAGAACTATAGCTGAAGTTGTGTGAAAAGAGTGTTATTTGGGGTAGTAAACATACAATGAACTAAATAACTTCAGCTCTATAGCTGAAGACTTCCGGTTACAAAGACAAAAACTTCAGCTCTAGAGCTGAAGTTTTTATTTTATAACTGGCAAACTTCAGCTCTAGAGCTGAAGTTTCCCGATTACTAAACAAAAACTTATAAATAACTAAAACTTCAGCTCTAGAGCTGAACTTCAGGCCCGGCTACTAAAATGCTGAAGTTTTGTGTAAATTGCCTTTGACTACTTCAGCCCGCATGCTGAAGTTATGTGAAAAAGCGGGTACGCTTGCAATTTTTTTTGCAAAGCGGGCACAGGTTAAAATGTGGAACAAAAGCGGGTACAGATGCANATACACCGTACTCGATCATTTAGCAATTAGCTATTAATAACACTCTAATCCTATTCCTTCAAGCCAAAGTTAGATCAAGCACTTACCTCGCTTTGCAACCAAATTCAAGATTCCAATAAACCTTCGCCTTGAAAATTCGTGTTCGAAGGCTTCAAATCTAGTCACAAATAATTTAATATACTCAATACAAATAGTAGAAATTAATTCCATATGAATTTACTAATTTTTCGGATTTAACTCCGAAATTTAACTCAAAAATTGCCCGTGGGGCCCACTCCTCGAAATCATATGAAACTGACAAAATATGATAACCCATTCCGATACGAGTTCAACCATACAAAAATTATCGAATTCCGACATCGGATTGGCTTTCAAATCTTAAATTTTCATTTTTGGAAGATCTGGTAAAAATCTGATTTTTCTTCCATAAATTCATGGATTCATGATGTAAATGAGTATGGAATCATGATCTATAAAGGATTTATGATAAATAACACTTACCTCATTCAAATTTGTGAAAACCCCTCTGAAAATCGCCCAAACCGAGCTCCCCCAACTCTATTTTTGTCAAAAATGGCCAAAACCCCCGTTTTATAGCATTTTACGATTCGGGCGCCACAGGTGGCGCCGGGCGCTGCCTGTGGCGCTGGTTCCAGTACCCAAAAATAATCCCGGCGCCATGGATGGCGCCCCGCGCTACCCTGGGCGCTGGCGATGGGAAATTATTTTTTCCCCGACACAAAAATGGGCATAACTCTCTCATACGATGTCCGAATTGGACGATTCTTTTTGCTATGGCTGCGAAATTTTGATACGGATCTAATGCTTCAATCCAAACTGAATTTGGAGTTCATTTGCTTAATATGATACCACTTATTCTTGAAGAAACGACATCGAAACATTCTTGAAATGCCCAAGTTAAACTCCATCAACCATCCAAAATCCACTCGAGGTCCTCGGGACTTCAACCAAATATATCAACAAGTCTTAAAACATCATATGGACTTACCTAGGGTTTCAAATCATTCCTAAAAATGTTGAAACGTCAATTCACACCTCGATTCGGACTTATGAGTTTCAAACTTTTCAATTTACAAAACTTGCGCCAAAACATATCAAATGGATCCGGAATGATTCAAATTTGGCACACAAGTCATAAATGACATAATGGAGCTATTTAAAATTTTAATCCATTTTTTTTCACATAAAAACGTTCTAAAAAATTATACGGACTGCACATGCAAATCGAGGTGAGAAAAAAAAGTGGAGGTTTCTAGGCCTCGGAATACTGAATTTGTTTCTAAAACAAGTAATGACTTTTTGGGTCATCACAAGTATGACCTACCTAGATGCAGTAAAATCATGCGGATAGATAACTGGGTCTATGAAACAAGATATAGCAATATTCGTAAGTTCAACAAAGTACCAAGCAAAGAACTTCAGTATACCTATAAATGCCTAGAGGGACATATCGCAGGCTCTGTATATGTTTACAAAATGAGGCCTAGAGAGTGGATAAAAACTGGAGGAAAAAGTTGGAGGGAAGAGTCGCATAGGCACTCATACAAAAAAAAAGGTGGTACAGGCTGCATGACAGAAGGTAGCAATAGTTACGAGATTGAAAGGATTCTGACCAGAAGTCATGGTGTGAGAAAGAGACCTAAAGGGGCAGAATGCCTTGGCCTTTGGATTTATTCACAGAACAGTTGCCTAGATGGCAATGACGATATTAAAATCATCTGTAAGAGCTATCAATGCACCAGTCAACATTCGAGGACGAATGTTCCAAACGGGGGAATGAAGTTATACCCCATATTTTCGTACGTGAAAGTACGCCATAAGTAAATTGATAAAAGCTCACAAATGAGATGTTACATCCCGCACTTTCGTACGTTAAAGTTTCGACGTAAGTTAATCATTATGCTATTTCAAACAAGTGATAAGTAAATTCGTGAAAGTGAGAGGGTAAGCGAATCGAAGAAAATAAGTTTCGTCGAAGTTTGACAACTTGGGATAAAAAACGGTCCGAGCTATAATACCCGGTATTTATGGACTAGTGTAATACAAGGTACCATATGACCATGATGGTATGATATATAAAGTGTGTTAAAAATAAGTAGTATTTTAAGTAATTTGAGACAATTCTTAATTATGTGGGTAATTGGTTAATTATTAATTTAATGTGAGATTAACCATGTAATTAAGGATTTGTGGATAATTAATAGGTGGGACAAAGCCCCCCACGTGGCAGCAAGTGGAGAAAGGTATTATGACTCTTGATTTGAGGCAACTAAATTAGGAAGACACATTTCTTTCCCACGTAAAAAGTTCTTGAAGTGCTAAGAACAAAAATCCACTCGATCATTCTATTGTATTCAAGAGCATCCTGCTTTTCTTATACACCAACTTGCCATCCTCCACAATTACTTCATAGGCTTCCCTTTCTTTTTGCAAAAAACAAAGCATGAAAAAGTTAAAAGACAACATTGGACTAGTTCCGGCCATAGCCATCAAACACGTAGAAGGAAAGTTCATATTAGTCATCCTTATAATTATCTTCAATTGGTATCAAAAACTCATTTGGAGGAGATTTGAAAATTCAACGAGACTCCATATTATATTAGCACCGGGAGTTCTTGGTTAAGCAAAATTTCATACGAAATTATACTGCGTAATAGCAACGGGATTTTGTGATTCTAAGGGAGTATGGTGCAATCCTTCTCAAGAATATCATACGGATTTTTCCCTACTTTGATCCGTTGTTGCGTGTTGTCACAATTAACGTGTGTTAGAGGGATTGTCAAGAGAATCGGTTCAGGTATGTTAAGGCTATCCCTTCTTTCTTTTTGGCATGATCCATACGATACAAACGAAATGAGCAAATGCACAACTTCCATAAATGACTATATTCATAGAAATACTAGAGGTTCCTATGTTCTTGATTCCCATATATCATATTATTCTATCATCTGTTCATGGGTCGTAGAAAATACGTAAGTTGATAAAGTTTATTTCATGATATTAATCAGAGGCATAATGGTCTTATGACGTTCCGAAAGATTTTATTAATGTACTTCTCATGCATTGCATTCATTTACATGTATATTGACCCATGACCAGATGGCGTTATATACGCGTATATATGTATGTGTGTGTGTGTGTATATATATATATATATATGTATATGTATATGTATATGTATATGGGATATGGGAAAAGGTTACGGTGTTATATACGCACCACCACCTGATCAGCTGGTATACGTTGCTGATTTTGCCTACAGTGATCGAGATGATATGATGGGATGCCCTCAGAGGCTTGATGATGTTATGAACATATGTACATATGCACGACATGATATGCATGACAATATAAGTATTTCGTGATTTACAGAGTTATCCAGACTTACAGGTTAGGTCATTTACTCTATATTTCTTCTATGTCTTTTATGTATTTATTTATGTGCCTTACATACTCGGTACATTATTCGTACTGACGCTCATTTTGCTTGTGAACGCTGCATTTCATGCCCGCAGGTCCGGATAGACAGGTCGAGAGTCCTCCAAGTAGGCTATCAGCTCAACGGTAGATGTTGGTGTGCTCCATTTGCTCCGGAGTTGCTTGTTT